TCTCCTCCTCCTCCTCCTCCTCCTCCTCCTGCTCCTCTCCTCCTCCTCCTCCTCTCCTCCTCCTCCTCCTCCTCTCCTGCTCCTGCTCCTCCTCCTCCTCCTCCTCCTCCTCCTCCTCCTCCTCCTCTCTCTCCTCCTCCTCCTCCTCCTCCTCCTCCTCCTCTCTCCTCCTCCGATACCTCCTCCTCCGATACCCTCCTCCCCTCCTCCTCCTCCTCCTCCTCCTCCTCCTCCTCCTCCTCCTCCTCCTCCTCCTCCTCCTCCTCCTCCTCCTCCTCCTCCTCCTCTTCGTCATCCTCCTCCTCTCCCTCTTCCTCCCACGATGGCCACACGAAATACCAGAATGCAACACCTGCGGGCTATTTTTTCGAATGGGGGCCGCCTTGACTCCCGCTCTGTGGGCTCCATTTCAATGTTGTTGCAGCTGCTGGATTGCATGGGGGGTCTATTAGGAAGGTTCCAAAGAGGTGATGACAATGAGGGAGGGGGTAAAATGGGAATTTATTGAGTGACATAGAGGAGAGAGAAGGAGGAGGAGGAGGAGGAGGAGGAGGAGGAGGAGGAGGAAGAGGAGGAGGAGGAGGAGAGGAGGAGGGAGGAGAGGAGGGAGGGGGAGGGGGAGAAGCAGGAGGAGGAGGGAGGAGGAGGAGGAGGAAGAGGAGGAGGAGAAGGACGAGGAGGAAGGGGTAGCTGAGGAGGAGGGGGTGGCAGACGCAGGTGTGGTTGGTGATCGCATCGTCCTTTCACCCCGCATGAGGCCCACGTGTCGGATGAGTCTGGCACGCAAGCTCAACGGTGGGCCGAAGGCAATTACCCGAAAGGTGACTGCTCAGATGAACATTCCATACACAAGAACACGTTGCAAGGATCATCTGCTCCGCTGGATCTCCCAAGAGCCCACGAAAAAGTCGCGCAGCTGACAGCCTCCCAGGGAGCCGTGAGGTCTCGCCTGCCCACCGCCTCCGCTGGACCTCCAAGGAACCCACGACCGTTACGCAATTGGCAGTCCACCAGGGAACCGCGAGGTCTCGCCTGTCCACCGCCTCCGCTGGACCTCCCAGGAGCCCACGAAAGAGCAGCCTCCCAGGGAGCCGCCACCGACTAGGCAGGAGGAGAAGGGAGGAGGCAGGAGGCAGGAGGAGAAGGGGGGAGCAAGGGAGGCAAGGAGGAGGAGGAGGAGGCAGGAGGCAGGAGGCAGGAGGAGGATCACAGCGCTCTCTTCTCTCGATTCAGAACGAGAACCCAATACACAGGAGGGTTGGGAAAAGAGATCGGAGAAGGGCCAGGAGGAGAAGGAAGCAGGACGAGGCAGAAGCGAAACGGGAAGCGCGCTGCTATGCGTGACCCCGCGCCGTCACCACCCCACCCTTGGAGATGGACGGCTGCCTGGCCGATACCGCGCCAAGCGCTGTGACCTGCGCGCTCCTGCGGGGGGGGCCCGCGTGAGGAGGGAGACCGGACTCGAGGAACCTGGCGAGGCTTATCTGCTTGTAGCGGAACTGGAAGGCTGGGTGAACTTGCAGCCACTTGCTCACCTGGGGCGACAATGATGCCATGATAAGCTTAACTCAGGCTACGTTCCAGGTCTTCCAGAGCGTGTACTGGCGCAGCCGGTGCGGAACATCAGGAAAAATTGGAATTCCTGGGGACATTGGAAATCCTGGAGCGTATCATTATCATGGCCTCTTGCTCCTCTGATCACCATCTCCCGACGGTACTGCAGGATGGTCTCTTCGACCTTGTAGACAGCGTGGTCAAGCTCGCTGAAGCACGTGTTTGGGTCTTTGATGATGCCTCTCTTCTGGAGAGACTTCATCACGGACGGCTGCAGATTTGTCCACAAGAAGGCAGTTCCACACGCGTCAGCGTGACTGATCAACCTGCGGAAAATCGCACACGCGGAGCAGTCCATGCCATCTAGCATCGAGCAATCGAAAATTACGAAACGCGCTCGCTTGTAAGGACGCGAGCTCTCACGAACCAAGGAAATTCGCAATGGGCCTTCGCGTTCAAGCTGCTGCCGCAAGTCATGGCACGACGTCGAGCTTCCCGGCTTCAGTGCTGTCAACGACATCAGCTTCGATGTTGTTAGCGCGGACACAGATATCCGCATGTCATGAAACGACCTGGACTCCAACATTGAACGATTGAGATCTCGTCTGACATTCACGATGAGGTCCCCGGGTTCAATCGACTCATTTGGGTTCTCCTCGTTCCACTGCGAGACCAAACCACCGTCCACAATACCAGTAACTAGCAGCGACTTCCCGTCGCTGCAATCCCTTAGCTCGAGGCCTAACGAAGTGCCCGCCGAGACGCACATCGAGACTGTCAAGGTGCTCTTACTGTGCAGGCATGACTTTACCATTTCTATCAACGTCTTCGCCGATGCGAAGAAAACATACCCCTTCACAGGCACCACAAAAAACCATGCATCCGCGATGTGCTTGACAGCTACTCGAATCAACGGATCACGCCGTGCGTACGAGGTTATGCTCCCACCTCTCTCGGGCGTCCTTGCCAGCACTGGGATTCTTGCATATTTCAGGCAGAAAAATACGGCTGTGAAGAGCACTCCCACAGCCACGGCATAGATGAGCTGCCCACTAATGATGAAAACAAACAGGATCCCCACTACCTCCAGCCACTCCTTGAAAGACATGTACTTGCTCGAGCCATACAAATTCTCCGCCACAAAACCAGCGCCCGCGAAAAAAAGAAGCATGCTGAGGAAGAATCTAGGCAAGTAATTGAACGGGGCAGTCGTCCCGAAGAAGCACACCGCACACAAGGCGGCGTAGATCATCCCTCCGCGCCTGTCCGTCGAATTTCCCATGATCCTAGGGAGTCGATATGGCGGCGCACGCAAGACTGGCAACACGAGTGGAGGGCGGGGTAATATTTCAAGCATGTCTCTCACAATGACGCACAGTCCCCCAGAGAAGTGTCCGAATGCCGAGCCTCGACAGCCTGCCCGAGAGCATGTCTTGACGTGGACCTGGAGCGAGTGAGATTGACGACCTTCAAAAGGCGTGCACCGACATCGAGACGAAATGTAATGCAGGCGCGTCCATGTCGCCTCTGGGACCGTCCCGCGGTCCCATCTTGGACCGCTACTCCCCGGACCTCTCCCGGGATGCGTCCTGACCAGAATTTCGAGGCGGATCCAGCGATGGCGACGAGGGCCTCCCAGTAGGCCCAAAAAGGGGAAAACGGGCGGAGGGTAGAGGTATGGGTACATCTTTCGGCGGTGGACAAACCTCCCTTTAGTAAACCTCCCCTTAGTGAAAACGGCCTGGGACCGAAACCGACGGACCAGGACCCGCAAAAATGACGGCCGCGACGCCCTCTCGCGAGCCGAAAACGGCCAATTCGCTCATCGACGCGTCATGGTAGGAGGTCTGTCAACCTCCGACTTTTCCTCCTCTGAGACGTGCCTGCTTGCAACGAGCGGTGCGTAAGGACCGACTCTCGCTGGCTGCTCCGTGCCTGCGCGCGTGCCGCCCCGTGCCGGGCCCCGTCGTGCGCTGGCCGTGCCTGGCGCTGCGCCCGGCCCGCCCGCGCCCTCGGGTGAGCCAAGAGGGGGTCCAGCTAAGAGCTTGCCGTCGCTCGGACGTCCATTTCCGATACATTTGATTTTCGTGCGTGTTTTTGTTTTGCTCGATGATCCAGGATGGTCCTCGATGTTTCTCGCCGAGAAAAACTGCACATGTCCGAGCGATGCCAAGAGAGGGGGTGGTGCAACAGACTGGGGGCGCTTGCAGTGCGGATGTATTGCGCCAGAGAATCGCATCGCGCGGCATTGCTAACTCGTGCCTTGCACGCGACGATCCAGCAATACATCTGCGCCCCGGAGAATGTGCTGCACGCCCCAAATTTGTTGCAACCCACAAGCCTATTGCACCAGATCTATTGCACCACCCCCTTGTGGCTGGACCACCTTTTGGGGTCAACCAGAGGTGAGCATTTGTGGGGAACCCCCTGTGGACCTCCGCGGACCTGTCACAGACGTGAGTTCAACTGGATTTCGCCCAGAGTTCGATGCCCGTCCTCGCCGGTTCGTTCAAACGTCGTCCGGATCTCGACCAAAGCCGACGACATCCGGGCGAAGTCCCCGAAAGCGTCAGGAGTTGGGGGACCTCCTGCGGCCCCCACGAAGGGCCACACAAACGCCCTCATGATGACCAGTGTCCGCTCTCCGGCCTGCGGGCCGCAGCCCCTGACCCAGACCGAAGGGAAAAGCCCCTTCGGTCTGGGAAGTGGCCAGACCGAAGTGGCCAGACGAATACAGGTAAGACGCAGGGTATAAGAAGAAAAGCACCGCTGTTCTCGAGAAGCGGACGCCCAAAGAAAGCGTCAGCTTGTAAGCCAGTCCTATTCGAATACACCATAAGACCCTTCCTCAGGGTTGTTGGTCGACGAAGGCGTTTTTGTGAATTGCCCAAACGGTGGGTCCAATAAAAAATGAGTCGACTGGTCGATTCGGGCGCATTCCCCAAGCGCGCGGCGGTTCCCGACGGAGTGGGTGACTAAAACTAGAGAGCAGTCACCAGAGATTCCTGACACAGGCTGGGCGAAAACATGAGGGCCCGACAACAAGGCGGGCGGGGGCGGGACACAACAATTCCCTGATATCGTTTCCACGGCAGAGGCGAAGTTGATTGAAGAAGTGCGACCCTCCGTTCACCCCGAAAACAGCTCCGACGACGACGACCACCACCACCACCACCACCACGAAGGATGACGAAACCGCAAGCTGCGAGAGAGAGAGAGAGAGCAAATCGTTTCGTCTGCATTCTGGACTTCAAAGCAGGGGTCAAACACTGTGAGCGTCCACATGGGGCCATGCACTGTAGGAAAGCACAGGGGCGACACGTGTCACCTCGGAAACTGCGTGGAGAAGACCTATTGTTTCACTTGCACTCTGAGCGTCAGAACGGGGCCATGCATTGCAGGACGGCACGGAGATGACACGCGTAACCCCAAAAAAGAGCGCGCACCGCCGTGCTTGGGTATGCTGCGTGCGCCGCGGCCGCTGCAGCAGCAGTGATGCGCGCCACAACGCGTGCGCGCACCAAAAGGCCTCTGTACGCCAGATTGCCCATGTGCGCCAAATGGCCTGCGTGCACTTTTGCCTGCGTACACCACATCGCCAATGTGCGGCACTGCCAGTGTACACCCCAACGGCGGTAGCAGCGGAGACGTGGAAGACCAAGAGATGACGACCAAGTGGGCCCAGTCGCCACTCATGCCGCAAGCTTCCTGGCCTGGCAGGCGTGGCAAGGCGGAGATATTTCCAACATTGGCCCGCGACAAGCGATTCCCCGGGAATCCCACAAGCCCTCTGGGCGTGAGTGGCCTAGCGAGTTTCCTCTTCCAACCCCCCTTCCTCCCTTCGGGGAGGGGCTCACCGCTATTTCTTCTGAGTACGCACGTCCTCCTCCACCCGACAGGCGACAAACCCCGGACACTGCCAACATCCCCCCAAAATCCCGTGCACAAAACCAAACAAAGCGCACGTCGCATCGAAACAATCCCCCAACAATCCCTTGCACAAAAGCACAAAACCAGATTCTGGATCATGCGCAGACGCCCCGCGATCGCTTTGCATTGGTTTTGACAGGGACGCGGGATGCTGTCATACTGCCTGCACTGCATACAGCCACGCCATACAAAATTAGCCTGGCGAAGGACTCAACCATATGCAGTTGTGAATACCGCATCTATAGGTATCGCCTTCGGTGGAGCCCCCTTGTAGGGCCACGAAACGCTGTGCTGGATGTGGGGGACGCATGCGGACTGCGCCACTGGAATATTCGGTGGAACTCCCGATGGGGCCACGAAACACTGTGCTGGGTGTGGGGGACGCATGCGGGCTGCGCCACTGGGACCTTCGGCGGAGCTCTTTATGGGGCCACGAAACGCTGTACTGGGTGGGGGGGACGCATGCGGGCTGCGCCACTGAGACCTTAGATGGGGCTCCCTATGGGGCCACGAAACGCTGACTGGGCGCGGGAGGCGCATGCGGGCACCCCCACTGGGGCCTTCGGTGGAGCTCCATTTATGGGGCCACGAAACGCTGTACTGGATGTGGGGGACGCATGCGGGCACCCCCACTGGGGCCTTCGGTGGAGCTTCCTTTGGGGCAACGAAACGCTTCACTGGGTCTGGCGGACGCATGCGAGTGCCCCCGCTGGGGCCTCCGGTGGAGCTCCTATGGGGCCACGAAACGCTGTACTGGGTGTGGGGGGGCGCATGCGGGCACCCCCACTGGGGCCTTCGGTGGAATCCCCTATGGGGCCACGAAACGCTGTACTCGGTGTGGCGGACGCATGCGGGCACCCCCACTGAGCTCCCTGTGGGGCCACCAAACGCTGTGCTGGGTGTGGGGGACGCATGCGGGCACCCCCACTGGGGCCATCGGTGGAGTTCCTTCCCTCTGGGGCCACGAAACGCTGTACTGGGTGTGGGGGGACGCATGTGGGCACCCCCACTGGAGCCTTCGGTGGAGCTCCCTATGGGGCCACGAAACGCTGTACTGGGTGTGGCGGACGCATGCGAGTACCCCCACTGGGCCTTCGGTGGAGCTCCCTATGGGGCCACGAAACGCTGTACTGGGTGTGGGGGGACGCATGGGCACCCCCACTGGGGCCTTCGGTGGAGCTCCCTATGGGGCCACGAAACGCTGTACTGGTGTGGCGGACGCATGCGGGCCCCTGGGTGTGGGGGGGGACGCATGCGGGCACCCCCACTGGGGCCTTCGGTGGAGCTCCCTATGGGGCCACGAAACGCTGTACTGGGTGTGGGGGGGGACGCATGCGGGCACCCCCACTGGGGCCTTCGGTGGAGCTTCCTGTGGGGCAGCGAAACGCTTCACTGGGTGTGGCGGACGCATGCAAGTACCCCCGCTGGGGCCTTCGGTGGAGCTCCCTATGGGGCCACGAAACGCTGTACTGGGTGTGGGGGGGGGGGGGGACGCATGCGGGCACCCCCACTGGGGCCTTCGGTGGAATTCCCTATGGGGCCACGAAACGCTGTCCTCGGTGTGGCGGACGCATGCGGGCACCCCCACTGAGCTCCCTGTGGGGCCACGAAACGCTGTGCTGGGTGTGGGGGACGCGTGCGGGCACCCCCGCTGGGGCCTGTGGTGTAGCTCTCTTGGGGGCCACGAAACACTGTACTGGGTGTGGGAGGACGCATGCGGGCACCCCCACTGGGGCCTTCGGTGGAGCTCCCTATGGGGCCACGAAACGTGTGAGGGGTGTGCCAAAGTGAGGGGGGTGACGGAAGGAGGGAGGAGGGGGAAGAGGAGGAGAGGAACGCGGGGAACGTCTCTTCAAAACGAGGACTCCATACCACAGGATGGTTGGGAAAACTATCCTGGCGAAGGACCCAACCATACGCATGCGTGAGAAGCGCATGGCCGGTGGGACGAAGCAAGGGGAATTCCAAAAGGAGCCACGAACCGTGTGAGGGGTGCGCCAAAATGGTGCGGGGCCGCCATGCGAACCCTGCCACTGGGGCCTTTGGTGGAGCTCCCTATGGGGCCACGAATCGTGTGAGGGGTGCGCCACTCTGGGGCTGTGCCGCCATGCGAACCCTGCCTGCCATTGGGGCCTTCGGTGGAGCTCCCTATGTGGCCACGAAGCGCTGTACTGGGTGGGTGAAACGCAGGGAGGGGGAGGAAGGAGGGGGGGGAGGAGGGAGGAGGGGGAGGAGAGGGAGGAAGGAGGAGAACACGGGGACCGTCTCTTCAAAACGAGGACCCAATACCACAGGATGGTTGGGGGGGAGGAGGGAGAACAAAAAACAACACAAAAAAAAAATGCTTCAACTCAAAAAAATGCACTTGCGCCAAAATCCGGACCATACGCGGACGCCCCACGCTCACATTGCATGAGCTTTTGACAGAGAGCTGGGGATGCCGGCAGATTGCCGGCTGCGTGCAGGCCCACGACCCTTGCCAACAAAGAGTGCACACAAAGTGCACGTTGCCAGGGACGGCGGGAGGGGGGGCGGGCGGCATACTGCCTGCCGCGAGGAAGGCACACCGTGCCTGTCAGAAGGCACATGCAACCTGGTCGTGGGGGTACGCCCGCACGCAGTACACAATGCTCGCAGACCCTCTGTCGCTGCGCATGGCTTCTTTGACAGGACTGGCGCCAGGGTCGGCACATTGCCCCCTGTGGCGCACCTGACATGCGCGTTGCACCTCGCGAGCTTCGCGCACCCAGCTGGCGTCTGCATTGGTTCCCGAAGGTTGTCGATGGCGGCCTGTCCATGCTGAGACTCGGGTGTTACTTCTGTGTTCGGAGAAGGGCGGATGGGACCACCTCATCCTTCTCCTCCTCCTCCTCCTTCTCCTCCTCCTCCTCCTCCTCCTCCTCCTCCTCCTCCTCCCCTCCTCCTCCTCCTCCTCCTGCTACTGCTCCTGCTCCTCCTCCTCCTCCTCCTCTTCCTCCTCCTCGTCCTCCTCCTCCTTCTCCTCCTCCTCCTCCTCCACAACCTCCTCATCCTCTCCTCCTCCTCCTCCTCCTCCTCCTCCTCCTCCCTCCCCCCTCCTCCTCTGCCGCATTCGCCTGTTCCTCCTCTGCCTCCCTCCTCCCCTCCCCCTCCCTCCTCCTCCTCCTCCTCCCTCTTCAATTCCTCCTCCATCCTCCCCCTCTTAGAGTATGTCCGCTTCCCCAGCCCGGTGTTCCACTGCGTGCTCCTCCGCATCCCTGATCAGGGCAACTCGCCTGGGCATCGTCTCTGGATGGGCTGGTGGGGTTATACGAAGCGTCTAGAATTCTTTTACTGACGGGGGTAGGGTCCGAAAATAAAATGAATCCAAGTCTACCACTGGATTACCCAGCGATGTCCTTCGTTGGGAATGGGCGTCGAAAACGAAATCAGTGCATTTCCCCGCAGGTCGCGCCGCCCAAACGGTGGGGGCGTCTGATAAATTCAAAACGGGTTTCCCCGAGAAGTGGCCGAAGGAAGGGTGGGGGACGTATGTCGTCATAGAAGTCGGTAAGGTGTCTGAGGGAGGGGGCAAGACGATCACAACAAGGACGAGATGGCGAACGGTAGATGACGGACGGTAGATGGAGGAGGCATGGAAACAAGGCAGGCCCAAATTCAGGGGGGCGTAAGACCCGGGTACAGGGGACTCGGAAATCCCCGACGAGGTCGTCAAAAAAATTACGAGGCCGAGCCTGCATTTTGACGAGGCCTCCCGCTGCAGACATCCCACGAAACTCCTACTCGTCAAAATCCGAAGCGCGGTCGTCAAAAAACGATGGCGAATCCGAGTCCTGGCAAACCCGGGTCTTACGCTCCCCCGACAAGTACCAATACCCATGGTCCCGAAATTTATCACGTTGAATTTCAGCTGCATGTAACCGCAGGGAGAGCCGCAAGCGAACATCATGGCATTGCAGATGCCGAACAATTGACTCTCGTATGTCGATTCCTCGCGGGGTGGAGAAAGGAGAGGAATAAGGAAGAGGAGGAGCGGAAGAGGGGGGCAAGGATGAAGGGATCGCTTCCGGAACGATGGGCAGCTTGTTCTCTGTGTTCTTTATCTTCAAAAGGCAATCCATCATTACGACGATGATCATGGTGACCAAATCCGGAATTGTCTTCGTCCAGGCTTTGAAGTTGATGTGCTGGAATTTCCACTCGCTGCCATCAGAAATGCCCTCCGTCCAGACGGTCCAAAAATCGCAGTTGCCCACGTGAGGGAACATGATACCCTCCGCTCTGGCATGATCGAGGTCGTCGTACAACACGCCGCTGGCGACGAGCACGTGAAAAATGATGAGGGGTATCATCAAGATCGCTGGTATCATAACCTTAGGCACAATGAAATGCCAGGGAACCGGCTGCTCTTCTCAAGAACAGGAGGAGGAGGAGGAGGAGAAGGAGGAGGGGGGGAGGAGGAGGACGAGGGCGGGGAAGAGAGAGGACTGCGAGAGTAGGGAAAGGAGATCGGCAACCGACTCCTCTCTGACGCGAGCCGGATGCGTTCGGCTGACACTGAAGGGGCCCCGGAACACACAAATAAATACACACTAATAAAAATATTCCCCATAGTTTCCCATATCTTCTGGCTTTTCGTCTTCCCCCCCACTTCCCATATGTTCCAATATTTTCTGGAGAATCGACGATTAATTGTGTCTGTGTGTTTTTTCCCCTCCTGAGACACGCTCGTATATGTGAGGGGTGCCCGCGCAAGCTCGCCCCTTTCTTGTCGGCAACGCCAGCGGTCGCCGGGCACGGGGCGCGCCAGAACGTCATGCTGCATCCTGGTGGGACCTCGCCCGTCCCGTCGCGGCCCCGTCCGCGTCGAATCCGCGTGGGATCCATGTCGGACTCGTCGGATCCGTGTCGAATGCGCGTCGAGCCCACGCCGAATCTAGAGGCCTCCCAGATGGGGTCGGAGTAGGTGGGGTCGGAGGATCGCGCCGCATCTCCGATACATCGGCGATGCATCGGCGATGCATCGGCGCTGCACCGGCGATGCATCGTCGACGTGGGCGATGCATTGGCGACGTCGAAGTGGAGCAAGCCGGGCTCCACATCGAGCCGCATCGGCGATGCATCGGCGATGCGGCCCGATCCCCCGACCCCATCTACTCCGACCCCATCTAGGAAGCCTAGAGAATCCGCGCCGAGGCCGCACCGAGCCCGCACCAAGTGAGCGCAGAGAGAGCGTGGGTGGAAGGGCAAGGAGGGCGGCCGCGGAGGCGGAGAGGGGGGGGGGGCCACAAGCGAACCCTACCCCTCTGCCCTCTGCCTCCCCCTCCCACATCCTCCTCACTCTGCTCCTCCTCCTCCTCCTCCTCCTCCTCCTCCTCCTCCTCCTCCTCCTCCTCCCTCCTCCTCTCCTCTCCTCCTCCCTCCTCCCTCCCTCCTCCTCCTCCTCCTCCTCCTCCTCCTCCCTCCTCCTCTTCCTCCTCCTCCTCCTCCTCCCTCCTCCTCCTCCCCTCCTCCTCCTCCTCCTCCTCCTCCTCCTCCTCCTCCTCCTCCTCCTCCTCCTCCTCCTCCTCCGCCTCCTCCTCCTCCTCCTCCTCCTCCTCCTCCTCCTCCTCCTCCTCCTCCTCCTCCTCCTCCTCTCCTCCTCCTCCTCCTCTCCTCCTCCTCCTCCTCCTCCTCCTCCACTCCTCCTCCTCCTCCTCCTCCTCCTCCTCCTCCTCCTCCTCCTCCTCCTCCTCCTCCTCCTCCCTCCCTCCTCCTCCTCCTCCTCCCCCTCCTCCTCCTCCTCCTCCTCCTCCTCCTCCTCCCTCCTCCCTCCTCCTCCTCCTCCTCCTCTCCTCCTCCTCCTCCTCCTCCTCCTCCTCCTCCTCCTCCTCCTCCTCCTCCTCCCACGACTCCTGAGGGGCAGGGTGGGGCTCACTCCGTCCGGGAGCTCCCGAGCGCGGTGAGCCCCGCCCTGCCCCCCAGAAACCGCGGGGGGGCAGGGGCGGGGCTCGCGCGTGGGGGGGGGGGGCGGCTGGGCCTTCGAGCACCGACGCAGGGCGGGGACGGGGGCGCAGGCGGCCTCGGGCACCGGAGGCCGGCCACCCGAGGCCGCGTGCCTCGCCGCAGGGTGCACGGCCGCTGCGCGGCCGCTGCGCGGCGCGGGCGCCCAGCTCGCCCAGGTCAAGGTCCTCTCCCTCCTCCCCCATCCCCCCTCCTCCCCCTCCTCCTCCCCCTCCTCTCCCTCCTCGCCCTCCGCGAACGCTCTCTTTCTCTCTCTCTCTCTCTCTTTTGCGAGCTCCCGAGCGCAGTGAACCCCGCCCTCACCCTCAGGTCAAGGTTCTCTGCTTCGGCGCTTCGGCACTGGGCGGAAGGGGGGGGGGAGGTGGAGGGGGGTTTGGCTCCGAGCCTCTGCCTGCCTGCGACTGCTTGCAGCGGTGCGTCCTAGGGAGGGGGAGGGACACCACCTGCTCAAGAGAGGCGCCGGGACCGGCCAAGATCTGCTCCGTGGGGAGGGGGGAAGGCGGGCTGCGAGGGCCCGCGCAGATCGGCAGAACAACGAACAAGAGAACGGTCACCAGATGCTCGGTGCCCGGATGCTCTGGGGTTGTGGATGCCACGACAATGGACACACTAACAGTCCTATCGTTGAACTTAACATGTGTTGAAAATGTCGGAAAAATGTTATGAGCATGCTCTAAGCCTGTGCTTTACATGCTTGACGCATGTTTCACACATGTTCTAGGCATCCAGAAATGGCTTGGCAACATGCTTCCTCTCCCTTGATCGTCCTCCATAACTCTGGGGGCATCACCGGGCAGTCTTGGCGCGTGTGCATGGGGCTGCCCTTTATACAATCAAAAACCTAATAAGGACGCGCGGTATGGACGCAAGACCCTTGGAAGCCGAAGTTGGGATTTTTGGGGCGGCGGACGACGAAAACCCCAAGACGAAATCAAGGAAGGACGGAGACGCAAGAGCAAGGAAGAGCAAGGACGCAAGGGCCTCCTCCTCCTCCTCCTCCTCCTCCTCCTCCTCCCCTTCCTCCTCCTCCTCCT